AGGGTCAGAGGGAGAAGCAGACTCCCCACTGAGCAGGGAGCCCGATGCGGGACTCGATCCTGGGACTCCAGGATCATGACCTGAGCCAAAGGCAGCCGCTTAACCGGCTGAGCCACCCAGGCGCCCTCTATCAATCAGTTTTATGCAAGAGAATTTCCTTTTTTTTTTTTTAAAGATTTTATTTATTTATTTATTTGTCAGGGAGAGAGAGAGACTGAAAGAGAGCACAAGCAGGGGGAGCTCCAGGCAGAGGGAGAAGCAGGCCCCCTGCCGAGCAGGGAGCCCGATGTTGGACTCGATCCCAGGACTCTGGGATCATGACCCGAGCCGAAGGCAGACGCTTAACTGACTGAGCCACCCAGGTGTCCCGCAAGAGAACTTCCTATCCCTGTCTTCAGTACAGAGAAAACCAAGCTGGCTTGTCTACACTCTTAACACCCTCGGGACTTCCCCAAACCCACCGACTTCCCAGGGCACAGCAGCTGCTCCTCCCGGAGCCCACTGTGGCCATCCGTGGCCCGAGGCAGTGAGGTCTTCACCTCCAGTGGAACTTTGCAGTGTCCCTGGATCGTATTTGAGGGGTACCACCCGGCTTTGTCCCTCAATTATGATTTTGCTGGTGTTTTTCAGGGATGAACAAAAAGCAGAAGGTGACAGCCAAAGATGAGCCGGCGTCCAGCAGTAAAAGCAACAGTGCATCACAGGTGTCGTAGTGACTCGAGTGGCTGATGGGATGAGGGAGCTTGGGCTTCCTTAGCCAGCAGGGCTTCAATAAGCACTCAGGCGTTTTAAGTCTGCAGAATTATTTTAAGCGGCCATTACTCACAAAGGTGTAAAACCGACCCTAAAATGTAATAATCGAAACGCCTTTATTCAGTCAATATTCAGCAAGTCTTTATTAAGCTCCTACTGTAATGTTAGAGATTCCTGGGCAGTGGGTTCTAGTGACAAATCAAAAATAGAACCAAACACAATAGAGAATTCCTTAGGGAGCCTCCATTCTATTGAGTGGCTATGGATAAATGAAATGTATGTTTAGAGAGAAAGAATGCTAGATGGTAGAGAAAAATGGAGAAAAGTCAAGGGAATGGGCTGTTGAGTACCGTGGGATGGAAGGTGGGACCAGAATGAGTGTAGCCTGGGGTGGCCGGGAAAGAACACTCCGTCTGAGGTTATTTTGCGGAGACCTATAGGCAGTGAATGCATGAGCCATATGGGAGAAAGAACATTCCAGGCAGAGAAAAGACCAAGCACAGATCCCTTGTTGTTTCAGTGGAAACAACCATTCTGGACAAATGAGAAATCTACTTAATGAGTAATGTGATTTTTAAAATAAGGGGGGAAAAAAAGTATAGCTGACCTAATATCTAAAAATAAAAACAAAACTACAGATTTTCTCCATGAGATTTTCTGGTAACCTCTGTAGCTTAGTTAATGGTGCTGTAAAAGTGGGTTGGTTTTAGGTAAGTTAGATGATCTGGAATAACTGATTGTAATGTTTGAAAAGATCATGCAATTTTAATTTTGTTTCCCTTGAAATGAGGATGCCGGGCTTCCAGTAAAAATAAATTTGAGTTCTAATTCTATGATGTGAGGCTGTTAAACTTTAATTGAGCGTTTTTAGTTCACTTATCTTGAGAGTGATTTAATAATGGTTATGTACAGAAATTAAATGATACAACAAATATAGCTTGACATTAAAGAATTCAAGGATATTACTGCTAGTCTAGATAGGCCTTTTTTTTTTTTCCCCCCTAATCTGGAGCTATCTTAGTGGCTATTATTTTTTAATGATGATGAGTTCTTTTCTCACTTGAGCAACTGCCCTATTTTCAACTCTGATTTTTAAATTCTTTTGGAATTTAGTCACAGAAAAAAGGACAGCAGTCCCAATTCCTGCAAAGCCGTAACTTAAAATGCATAGCCTTATGTGAAGGTAAGTTGAAAGTTTTACCAACCTCATAGCATTAATTCTCTATGTTATCTGTGTTTAAGGATTTTACTATATTTCCAGAATGCTCAACATGGGTTAGTGAAAGCATTATTCCTTGTGACCTTCTCTAAGGGCACAGATGGAAAACAGGTACAATAGAGATCGTAAAGGTGAAAAACAAAGCAGAATTGGCAAGAATTCAGACAGTGCTGTATTTTATTCTTGGCAGATACCCCAGAATGGTAATTATATTTTTCTGATCAAGTATTGCAAATCTCTTTTGTGAATATGCCGCCTTCCTCTTTAAGTTGGTTTTTGAATGTATAATACCATGAAAAATGTGAAAGATGAACCAAGCACTAAGGAGAGAACCCAACAGGTCTTTCTGCTTCTACACCGAAATTATTCCTCTATTCTGAACTTGAAGTAGACAAATTGATAGGTGATTTGCAAGATCATATGCTTTTCTTTGTTCTTTCTATATAAAATCTGACCTTGACTAAAAAAGCTGGTGCTGGGAGTTCCAGTAGCCACCGTTAACTGCCTTTTAAGTCTTCAACCCTTAATAGTTAATATAGGACACGAAGTTGCTTTCTGTCTACATAGTCTCCAAGTCAGGACTATTTGCTTTTGATAATATACAAGTGATTCCCTTCCTGTTGTTACACTGATGGTGTTTAAAACATAAAATTGTCACATGACATTTTATTGTTTTTACTTACACTTTTGATAGCTTATAAGGTTGAACATTTTTCATGTGTTAGTTTGTGCATGTACTTTTTGCTTTTAGATTTCTAAGAGGAGGGATGTAGTAACTTAGAATAAAATCGTTCTTTAATTTTATCTTCCACTTACAGTGATCACCTCACCTGACCTGCACAAACATGGAGAGATATGGGTCGTCCCAAATACTGATCATGTCTGCACACGATTCTTTTTTGTGTAAGTGTGAAGGTTCAAATTTGTATGTTACTGTCTTCTCCCTGAATGAGGTAGTAGTGACTACATTATTATTTGGTCACTTTAGCTGCCAATAGGTAACAGACAGGTAGTTTCTCATCATCTGAATGTTTCTGTTTTATTTTAATGAGCTGTAAAAAACAGAATGATATTTAAATGCTGTTAACTTAGAAGAAATGAAGAAAAACATCTGTCTCTTTAACGATCTATGTGTGCATATATACACACACATATGTATATGTGTGTAGATAGACATACACATACAGATAGATGTAACATATATATACACATATGTACACATACACATATATCTTTAGTTATTTATGGATTTAAAAAATATTATAACTAGGAACGAAGAAGACAATAATGAGAATGTCCTGTCCCTATAAGAGGTTGAAGATCTGGGGCACCTGGGGGGCTTAGTCGTTAAGCGTCTGCCTTTGGCTCAGGTCATGATCTCAGGGTCCTGGGATCGAGCCCTGCATTGGGCTCCCTGCTCAGTGGGGAGTCTGCTTCTCCCTCTCCCTCTGCCCTCCACAACCAGCCCCCCTGAATGCGCTCTCTCTCCCTCTCAAATAAAATAAAATATTAAAAAAAAAAAAGCTGATGATCTGCATTTCATATAACATAGGCTGGCAGTGCAGGACATATTGATGTGGATTTTTTGACACAGCTGTATCATAAGAGCTGCAAGAAAATATAATCACATTATTTTTCATATCTAAGTAAATAATGTGTGCAGTAGACCTATCTGATTTTCACCCACCCTTACTTGACTCCCAACCCTTTCCCTGCCTATTTCTTCCTCATCCATGGTCCTATCCCAGGAAGGACCTCGGGGAAGAACGGAGTATAGCTGTTTTGTACTTTTACGTAGTCTTCTAAAGAGAAGGTGGGAAAAAAGCACTGGCTTGTTTTATAAGCCATGTCAAAATGACTGCCTCAAGATTGCTTCAGTATATAGTGTTTTCTACGGCATGCTGTGCCTGCAGCACTTGATCTGTTAGCTTACTGGCAAACTGTTCACAACGTAAGTTTTACTAACTGTCAGGTTTTCTTTGGGATAGTATGAAAACTGTGACTTTCTTATGATACTGATTTATGTATTATGCATTTATGTATCTTCTGTATTTTTGATACATATTAATACATACATATTGTGACACATATATGTATCTGTAGATTTCTTTCTTCATGGCCAGGCAGCCATGAGTATGGTAGACAGAGCCTGCTTTGGTTAGACATTTTGTGTCCAGGCTCACCAGTTAGGTGACCCTAGCCATGTTGCATGACCTCTCTGAGCTTTATCAGTAGGTACAATAAAGCATCATTGGTAGATACAGTAGCACGCTATGTCTACCTTACCAGGCAGAATCCCAACAGGAAACCTGTGGCCCATGAGAAATATCATAATTTCTATCACCCACAAGTAGATTGCTTAAAAAGGTGTGGTTTCTAGGGGCACCATGGTCTACTGTAGCAACCCGGATCTAGCAGCACCAGTGGGGTTCTACATCCCCAGGGCCAAAAGGACAAGGACAAGAAACAGTTCTCAGAACCCTGTAGGAGAACCCTTACTATTTCAGCAGCTTTGAAAGGAGCTGGAGCCTTCAGTTGAAGGACTTAGGTAGCCCAACGTGACCTTAATGGGCCTGGACCCAAGGGAAACCTGGACTTACCCCCCTGCCAGTGTCCTGCTGGGCCTCCCCATCGGTCAAACCCTGCCAGAGAGTAGAGGGCAAGTGAGCTTATTGATAGAGTCCATACAGGTCAGCCTCCTGGGTCAGAATGCAAGGTAGAGAAGGATGCCATGTGGATCTGAGGGTTCCTTGGGAAGCTATCTGCATGCGATTTTAAGATTCTTATGAGGACAAAGTTAGCACAGTGCAGGTCTTCATTGAAAGGCACTCACTAGGAGTGCCTTGGTGGCTCAGCTGATTGGGTGTCTGCCTTTAGCTCAGGTCATGATATCAGGGTCCTGGGATTGAGCCCCACATCAGGCTCCCTGCTCAGTGGGAAGTCTGCTTCTCCCTCTCCCTCCATGCTCTCATGCTCTCTCTCAAATAAAGAAATAAAAATCTTAAAAAAGGGGGGGCACTCATTAAATTTCCCCCTTTTTCTTGACCATCATGACTATTATCCATTGTTAGAAGATTGGCCTTCCAAAAGACACATCTAATCACAAAGTTATCTGATTGAGTGACCTTATGATTTAGATGGAAAAGGAACTCCAAAATCCTTTCCTTAGCCTGATGTTAATCAGTTAATTTACTCCTCTTAGTATCTTGCTAAAGTTCAAATTTATTAAGCTAAATAAACAACTTTAGGCAGTAGGCATTCTAACGTTATTTCTTTGAAATTTTACGTAAATTATATGTAAAATAAATCTGTAGGGATGTATGTGTTGTGTGTGTGTGTGTGTGTGTCTGGAGAGATGCATTTCTGTATTTATTAGAAGAAAAAAATGAGGAAAGACCATCTGAAGAAAAGAGAATAAGATTCTTCCAGTATACTTACTTTCCAAATAGTGTAAAGAAAAAAAAACTATTAAGATAATGATTTTCATTTCTTTATAAATATAGATGAGATTTCATCCTTTTTCTCTGAACCCTCAGGAGAGAAGAGACTAATTAAGGAAAATTGATAAGATTCAAACACATCAGAAGGAGAATCCATTCACTAATTAATGTACATTCTAATTACAACCATCAGCTTCTTTGTAAAAGATACAATCACAGAGTTCTATGAGTGATGTGCCTCCCCAGTGAGTGGTAACATCTAGGAAAAGATAAATTGATGAGAAAGAAGTGAGTTATCACAAGTATACTGTTACCAGACAGAAAATCTTATTTTCTTGTTCTCATTTTGTTCCGATTTTTTAAATTAACATTATCTAATTGCTTATGTTAGAAGTTTGGCCTGATGACTAGGGTATAAATTACTGTGGCTTCCGGGGCGCCTGGGTGGCTCAGTCGGTTAAGCGACTGCCTTCGGCTCAGGTCATGATCCTGGAGTCCCTGGATCGAGTCCCGCGTCGGGCTCCCTGCTCGGCGGGGGGTCTGCTTCTCCCTCTGCCCCTCCCCCCTCTCATGTGCTCTCTCTCATTCTCTCTCTCTCAAATAAATAAATAAAATCTTTAAAAAAAAAATTACTGTGGCTTCCTTTTTTAATCTATTATTAAGTGAAACTACGAAAAATCAAAATAATTTCCATGCTAATCTGATTTCTAGAATGGTGATAATAAAACAGGTGCTTAATATCCTGACCGTACTCTTCCCAGCAAGTAAACAACAACACAGAATGAGAGAAGAATTGGGGGGATATTTTAGGGAACAGACTGCTGTATCAAAAAAAAAAAATTTTGAAAGTAAAATTTAAAGGAAGATATCACTTAGAAAAAAAGAATAAGTTTGAAAACTTTTGTTGGATAATTTCAAAATGAATAAACTTAAATTTTAATGCTTCTGGCAAAACATAATAATTCAGATGTTATAAACAGATTCTAGCCAATTCTAGGGATTGTTGAGAAAATTTGGTTTCATTAGTCGCCCTGAGACACATGTAGAAATAAGGCAACAGTTTTTAGAAAGGGCAAGAAGCTGGGCTTAAGAGGAGGTGCAAAAAGCAAATGGACATATCGTGCTCTAGTCACAGTCAACAAAAATGTTTATTTCACAGCGAATGGGGAGTTTTAGAGCAAGAGAGGAAGACTTACTATTGGCTATTTTCCATGAGTAGGATTAAATAATAAAATCAAAGAGAAGGTAGTTGATAATTTGGCAAGTTAACAGAGTAGGTGTGTCGTGTGTCATGGTCTCCCCCGAGGCTACCCATCCTCCCCACCCCCCGCTGTAGTGAAAACTGTTAGAGGTAAGAGTATATGACTTCTCCTTCAACTCTCTGGGACCAAGGGAAGGTTAAGAACTGCTAGGTTTGCATATCTTGCTTATCTGATGTTACAACCTACCTGTTCAATGCTTCAGTGCTTCATTGATTTAGAGCAGGCAGGTCTGCAAAATCAATTGTTTCCATATTTTGTCTATTAGATAAATTTAAGGTATACAGCCCCTCCTATTTTTCAAGACCGACCAATAAGTTCAGAAACTTAAGAACAGGAAGGATCAAATCAGACAAGTCTGCAGAAAAGAGATACGGGATATTTTCACGTTCTTGAGTCTGGCAGATCTCAGTGCTAAATAAATTTCAGGAATTCTTATCCAAAATCTATCTATTAAGGTTCAGCTCAAATACCACTTCATCCAGGAAGCTCCTAATCAAAAGTAATCTCTCTTCCTGGTGTTCCTGCAGCTGACACTGCAGAACTTCGATTTAAAATTTAGTTTTTTCTTGTATCGGACTTTTCCATGAGGCTGTCAAGTCTGAAAGGGCTGACTCCTACTTTTGCTTTTCATTTACTATCCTGATGCCCTGCAGCACCTCCCCTGGTACCGGATGCATGGCTGCTTATCAGTACATTTTTAATGAATGAACAAAGATGAAGCTAAAAAGGATAATATTTTGGATTATGTATGGTTTTTATTTTTGGTAAAAGTTTGAAGTCTATCTAAAGAGACGGATACAAGAAAAATGTGTAAAATAACTGTATAATGGCCATTCAGTGAAAAGAAAGATAACTTTCATCGTGATTTTTAAAAACAAACAAACAAAAAACAAACCAGTCTTTCAATGGGAACATAGTGAGGAGACAGACAAGTTATTTATGAAGTTGGAAGACAAGCGATTCAGTCATGGCTCAGTGAAGTTGTGTGACATCAAGCTGATACGATCGGGAACTTTGCTTTTTCACTAGCCTATAATAAATCCAGTTTCTCTGTCTGCAACCCAGATCCATTTCCAAGATTTAAACTGCCACATCACTCTCCTGTTTAAAACTCTTTAGGAGCTGCTTGCTTCTTATAAGATAAAGTCCAATCTCCTTTACAAAGGGAGCCAACTCACTCCCCAGCCTTTTGTTCTTCCTTCAGCACTACTGCATTGGAAGGTCAAGGAGATCTAGCCCCCAGCCTCACGACCCCCAGTTTTCATCACCCACAATTTCTCACCTCCAGATATTACGCTTCATGACCTCAACTGTAGGCTATGATCCCCACACTTCCATGCTTTTCCTCTTTCCTTTCTCCAGTAAATCTAGACTCTTTCTTCCTCTCTTCCCTCACACTAATTTATCTGATTCCTACTCCTCTTTTAAATTTTAG